AACAGTTGACCTGTCACACTGCTCCCACTGCCAGACTGCAGCTGCAACTTATGTACATTCTGTAGTATTCACTCAACCCCATTTCATTTCTGTCATCCTGTAGTTTATGTATATAAGTTTGGATTGGTTATTTATAGTTGGTTTACACAGCTTTGTGTATGTATGTGTATGCATGTGTAATGTATATATAGACACGTGTGTGTGTGTGTGTGTGTGATTTACATTGCTGTGCTTGTGAGTCACCATCTACCGGAACCAAATTCCTTGTATGTGTCTGCACATATACATGGCCAATAAACACGATTGTGATTCTGTTTGCTCAGCACACTGGTGATGCTATGGTCCCTGACACGGGTTGTTGCTAGGTGGACGCAGGTCTAACGTCGTCCTGACGACTGTAGTTTAGAACGAGCTTCCCTTTAGACGGTGCGATGACGCAGATCACGTGATGACGTTTGTTGTGGATTTTTCCAGCAGGTGTAATATTCCCGTTCAGTTTGTTCCTGTCAGGTTACCATACCAGACTCTGACACTCTGTCCAACATGCTTACACTCACGTCCTGATAAGATTCGCTTTCTTGTAGATTACATCAACATTATCCACAAAATTCTCCAATATAAAAACACGACTGACCTCTGACCTGGAATCAACAAATTTACCTCACTCCTCCACCCACGTCCCTGAGGTAAGGTGGGGTCAGAGTTCCTCTGAAAGGAAACAACTGAAGACAACTCTGTGCTGTGTCAGTGTCAGCGAGCTGAGGTCACGGCGGCCTACACCTCGTGTAGATCCTTTGTTCATGTGCATGTTCAACTTTATTGTAACAGCTGGAGAACAGCTGCACTGATGGAGCTGAACTGAACTGTAGAGGTGTGTGTACACAGAGGTTTTTGGACATAACGAAGGATTGTGTGTGTGCGTATGTGTGTGTGTGTGTTACCTTCTCTACAGCAAAGGTCCGGATCACGTACTCAGAAAGCAGCTGAGTCTCGATCAGCGTCACCTTCATGTCGCCGTAGATCTCCGTGTCATCAGGCCAGTACTTACAACACTTCACCTACACACACACACACACACACACACAGGATTAAATTGCCTCATTAATTAAACAGAAACACAAACAGAACAAAAGCAGCTGATATTAAAATCTCATTAGAGGCTCCGCCCCCTCCCCCTCTCCTCATTAACAGCTAATTACTGCAGAGCTAATCACACTGTCACCACGACAACCAACGAGGTAAACAGGGAGGGAGGGGTGAGAGAACAAATCAGGCTAACGTGACAGTGTGTGTGTGTGAGAGACAGAGGGAGACAATCAGGCTCTTTCCCAGAATCCCCCCTCTGTAAAGGAGGGGAGCAGTTCCCTGGTGCCTTCTGGGTAATGAGGGCTGAGCGACGCCCGCCTGCAGGTGTGTGTGTCTGATCTCAGGTTCGATCCTTTATTTTCAGGAGGAAATGGCGGCGTGTTTATCAATTTGCAGCGCGATTCACAGGAGCACACCGTGAGTTTCCCAGAATGCTGAGCAAATGCGGTCACACAGCCACTACCCAATAGTTAGAACCTGAGCACGCCACCCTCAGAGACGGATGGCTGTGAGGAGCAGTGCGTCAGAGTCCTCGAGGATGCAGTGCCGCTACGCCGCAGCGGGAAAGTCAATGCTCAGAGAAGCAAATCTGAAACACGCAAAGTGTCTGTGAAGGTTCTCGGTCATCCAGGTCATCGTAGTTTGAGGAGCTTGCAAAGAAAAGCGTCTGGGCTTCTTTAGGTTTCCATGAAGACGTTTCACCTCTCATCCAAGAAGCTTCTTCAGTTATAAGAGCAAATGGTGGAGAGTCCCAGAATTAAGCCTGTGGGAGTGTCCCCAAGATGATTGATCCTTTACCTAATCACACGGGTGTGGGTCCCAATCAGCCAAGGTTTCGGGTGAGCTCATTGTGAAACCTGGCCCCACCTTATCATGTGATTTCCTGAGATCAGATGGCCCAGGATGTGAGTGGGCGTTAAGGCGTCTGGGGAGGGATCTCAAAACTGGATTATAGATGGCAGAGAGTTGGTGTCGTAAGCCACCGCCTCTGTTCAAAGATGGTCGCTCACAGTGGACATAGATGCTTCTTTCACTCCTCTTTCAAA